TTAGCGTGCGCTGTAACAGCTAAAAACGAGCGGCTATTAGTGGGTGTTTACAGGCCATCACGCTAAGCAACAGGCGCCATAGGCTAGTGGGCCTACCTTTTTTTTTCTGCAGTGTAAGGGAGGGGATGAATCTAATTATGCACCAAACAATATCTAGTGGCTACAATTCTGAACAGATTTCTTGACCCTTTTGCGCCCTTTACGTGCACTATTCTCTCTCTCGGAAGTGCGTTTTGCCCTCACTTTGATCTTCCTCTTGATCTTCTGCCAATCACGAACTGCCTCTGCGGCGTTCTCCATATCATCTCCGGCAACAAGAGAAGGCATCCATTTCACCATGTAATATAGCTTCCCCCCTTTTGTCTGTTCGCCGATGACCTTGTCCACCTCCCACTCCTGATCGAGATCGCAGCGATCGGTATCATCGGACGCAGGTGGCTCGTGCTGTGCCCGAGACCTGGAGTCCTCTGTGGAAAGTTAGGCCAGCTCCCTGGTGTACAGGAGATGCAACCTACCGCTTGGCGTTGGCGGTGAGCTTCTCCTGGAAGAGCCCTCCATGTTGTCCACAGCATCTTCACTGTCTCTCGCCACAGGAGAAATCTCTGGCTGGGCGGCGGAGCACGCTGCCTCCAACTCAGAATACCTGCGGGAAGATGGGGGCAGTTCCGGGCTATTAGTAGCGAGCGGTTCTGAGGCGGATATGCACAGGTTGGCTAGCTGCGGTCGACGACCTGCTGGGGAGTTAGCTTGTATGTAGGTTTATCCGCGCGAATTGACTGCACCGAATAACATATTGTTAGCAAGGTCAATGTCATCAGCTTGGAAAGTGAGATTTTCCGCGCTGAAGTTTGCATCTAGTAGAGGCTCTTCTAGGACTGGATGTTTGCCAGGTGCAGAGATACAGGTGTCATTCTGCATTGGAGCAGGTTGCTTCATGGGCTTTTTCTGCGCTGCTTTGGCTTCCTTCTTCCTCACCTCTGCGTAGGCGCTTTCAGTAAATGGCTGCTGGAATTGGATGTCCATGTTGCCTGGCGTCAGGAAGAGGACAATGGACGGTCATTTTCTGAACTTCTGCGTAGGAAGGGGTCTATATATACAAGTCTGCAACCGGCCTAGGCAGTAATTGGGCACAATCTTTCCATTTCCAGAGCGCAGCAGCGTCTTGGATACATTGACGTCACAACTTTTCTGGTCAGGAAACTGGTGGCCTGGTAGCTTGTGGAAAGGCTTTGTGAGGCCGGAGGCCGGGAGCCGGGAGGTCCGCTGCATGGCCGTCTTCATATGGCACCGGCGGCCCCGCGCAGACGACACACCTTTACCCTCTACAGATAGCACCCTCTTGAAGAGCTTGGACCAGTGCAAACAGCAGATCGACATGATTGTGTGCTATCGGTACTGTATGCAGTGACGCATTTTACTACCCATTACGGACGCATCCATAAATCGTTCCTGCCAGCTTTTCCATTGTAATTCTATTCTGAACCATGAACTACCTAGTGCGGCTTTCTACGACTTGCTGCGGCCATGACGCCAGAGAGTCCTAGTCCTCAGCTTTCGACAGGGAGAAAAGTCATTGCCACCACAAGACGTATTGACTGGATCTTGCTGGTGTCATCAACGAAAAATGCTCGCCAGCAAATCTTAGCCATACCGCCAGAAATGGCTGGCAAAGTGCTCTGTGTTGCCGAGGATGGCTTCGCAATCCTGCCATGGGCTCGGAAACGGCATTTGCAACTGGTTCAGAGGCATGACTCTCAAGTGCTCTGCTAATGCTCTCATTGGCCAAGTTTTCGTGCGGTCAGCACTTCCATGATGTCCGGGGAATTGTTGCGTAGAAACATTTGCCTACCATACCAATTAATCATTTGTGGTGGACGACGCTGTAATGACACGTACCTGGGCTGCCTCACAGCCCGTGCGAAGCCTGTGCCTGTCGAACAAGCGACGCTCTCCGCGCAGCATCCGCAATAATACCAATGCTGCCCAAGACTCTGAAATCCGAAATCATTCGGGTCGTCTACCGCTGTAAGCTCTATGCTTCTTCGGCAGCCCAGACAGTCAATGGACAATGTGCTATCGCGATGTGGCATAATGGCCAGAAAAACACCTGCAGCAAGTTTCTGCGTCTGCCCCTCATCATGCAGATTCAGGGACTTCCCGTTCTATAAATACTCCTGGATAAATGGAGGTAGACTAACGGTCGCTCATCATCTCTGTCAGTCCTGATCCTCAGCCGAGTTGGTGTGTCGCGGAAACCGAGTCATGTCACATGCGCATGACAAAACGTAGCAATTTGACCTATTCTGCATCTTCATGATTCTAATCTTGAGATCATATCATAGTTGAGCTGCGTCTGCTACGCAAGCCCGGTTTGTCACACAGACCCATCCCGCTGCCGGCGTCTCTTCTAGATCTCAATGATTCACAAAATATATTCAAGATTGACGTATATAATACAGACTTGCTGTGCGGCCGAACCATTTGTACGCACAGGCTTACAAGATTGAACCTCAGTGTGCTCTCATTGATTTGCTAACCAAACATCTTGAGCGCTGCGCGACGTTAGCAGGGTTCCAGTATCGATGCATTCGCTTTACTGACCTTCTGCCGGTGGCTGCCAATCTGAGGCTCCACATCCTGCCATTCTGTCGCACAAGCCCCAGTGGCTGGCTTGTAATCTTGCCGCTTGTAGTCTTGCGGCATGTCTTGCGGCATGTCTTGCGGCATGTCTTGCGGCATGTCTTGCGGCATGTCTTGCGGCATGTCTTGCGGCATGTCTTGCGGCATGTCTTGCGGCATGTCTTGCGGCATGTCTTGCGGCATGTCTTGCGGCATGTCTTGCGGCATGTCTTGCGGCATGTCTTGCGGCATGTCTTGCGGCATGTCTTGCGGCATGTCTTGCGGCATACAGTTTTACAGCTCGTAGTCTTGCGGCTTGTGCGCCGAGCCGACACTACCGGTGGCTGGGGGAGCTTGCTGGCACGGTCTCGTTCTTGCGTAATTAAATTTTTCTTGGTTTGCTTCGCTGATGTCATGATAATATGAAGAGCAACGAGAAAAGGGAAAAGAAAACGTGCCGGCTCGTGGCCTGATATAGACGCCTTTGTCCAGAAGCTGCTTCTGCAAGCAGTCCGCGAAAACATCCACAACCGTAACAGGAAAATCCGGTCACAGATGGCCTTTGGAGCACCAACAGGTGGAAGTTAGACAGAGCAAACCTGCTCCCGTTTCGGATGCGTACTTCACCCAGCTCTCATATATTACGGTCTGCCATCCAGATGTTGTGAATGCATGACCGTAGGAACTGCCTTTCGCATCCTTGACATGGTTATTGCTGATAGTACTGTGCCTATATTTGTCAACTTTATGAGCATGAGACGCTTTAAGGTGCGCATACTTGGTTGGCTGCGGACAAGGTGCTGCCGGCGCAAAGCTCGCAAAGCTTCAGCAGCGAGAGACTCGGCACTACCTTTGACGGGCAGCCTATCAGTCTCCACGTACGCCAGGTCTTCATTTGACCAGATTGTCGGCATGAACCGCGAACTCGGAAGGGATCGACTGGATTTTGCGCGTCTCCGATATTTGTCGCGAGGCATTTTTGATCCCATGGTCGTCGAGGTTGGGCAGCAGTGCAATGCATTGCGAGATTACATAGAAAGGTCAATAGCAGTATTGTCATGAGTTGCAAGGGGATCAAATGAAATCAATACAAACTACACTATTTCTGCTCTTAACTCTGCTTCCATGCTCTGTCGTGCCCTGCTATCCTTCGCTCTGCATCCGCATCCCCGAACGGTTGTGCGAAGGAAAGGAGATGGAATAAGCATCAAAGAAGAAGAGGGGAAGGAATGAAAGAAAGCGGAGGAGAGTTACATGTGATTTCTATGCACTAGCCTTTCATCTGAAAGCCCAGCGCACCGTATCTCCAAAGAACTCTGGCTGCTACTCGTCCCACTAGCCCTGCGGGAACGCCGCCTTCTTCCATACCGAGAGGAGACCACGAACATCGCCGCAACCACCAGCGCGCTACCGCTAACGGCACCAATAGCAGCACCAGCGACGGTGATTTTTTGTTTGACAGTCTGTTGGCCACCACTGTTCGCAAAAATGTCGTTGCTTGGATCAGGTGTGGAGCCAGTCCTAGAAGCGCCCGTGCTATGAGTAGCCTGGGGAAGTGTCGGAGAACCTGCGTGAGTGGTGAGCTGACTAGGCCGGGGAGAGTCGGCAGTTGGCTCAGTTGATGTGTCTAGAGTGGCAGAGTGGTTGAGGGTCGTATCCTCCGATGTAGTCGGGATGCGAGTGTCGGAAGACACAGCTGCCGTCGCGTTGCGGGTGAGCTCCGACCCCATCTCACTGGTTGACGTATCGTCTATTTCCAACATGTGAGCTTTGTTCGCGAAAACGTCTGCCGCAGCACTAATGCTTGTGGTTCGTGACGCCGTGTTTGACACTGTGTATGTTGACGCTGATCCTGACGGCGATTGTGATGCAGATCCTGAATGGCGAAAGGATGCAGTGGCCTGTTGGTCAATCGCAGGTGGCGTAGAATTAGACAATGCGGTATTGGATTGAACTGATAGTGCGTTAGTAGGGTCTCTTCAAGTGCACCCATATTCGCGGAGACTACCTGGGCTGGCTGGCTGTTTCGAACCTGTGACTGGAGTGGAACCTGGTGTTGGTAGGCTGCTCGTTTGGGCCCGGGTCGACGATGATGTTGGCAGGAGTGGCTCGGTCGTCTTTGGATGTCCATTCGATGTAGTGGCAATCAGTGACGTTAACATGCTCAGATCTTCCAGTGTTGAGATTGGAGAAACTGAGGCATGCACGTGCGGCTTGGTCTGCTCTGCATCTTCGCTGATGGTAGTGGAACTTGGCGATGGTGGTCTGCTCCTGGTGTCTAGGGCCAAGCTTGGGGTGAGCACAAGAGGCCGGCTCGTTCCTCGATCTTCAGTAGTTGTGAAGACGGCTGGTGATGGTGATCTGTTTGTGCTGACTGGAGTTGCAGGTGAGGAAACAGAGGTGGGCAACGTAGGCTTGGTTTGCCTAGTGAAAAGGTCTTCGCTGGCCGTGGGCGGAGTGCCGGCGGTTCGCAGCGTCGATTCCAAAGCTATTTTGGGTGTAGAGACGGAATCTTCGGGTGTTGCTGGCTCCTTTTTGGTGGTTTCCGACGCGATCGAACCTAGAGATTGGTCGGGCGTTGGCGACAGAGCGACCGTGGACGTAGGATCAGCAGCAGCAGTCACCTGGGTGACGATGCTCCACGAAGTAGGCCACGACGATCGATCAAGGGTCTGCGTAGCTCTCTTCGGCGTCGACACTGTCGCGGAACTTGGTGCTAGTGATCTGCTCTTACTGGCCAGAGCTGAGCTTGAGGAGGGTATGGGAGGCTGGCTAGCCTCCGGATCTTCAGTGGTTGTGGACATGCCTGTTATCGGTGATCTGTTCGTGTTGGTCGGCGTTGAAGGTGAGGAATTAGAGGTAGTTGCTGGCTCCTCTCCGCTCTTTTCCGATGCGGTCGAATCTGGAGATTGGTCGGCTGTTGGTTCCATAGCGACCGAAGACACAGGTTCAACAGTCACTCGGGT